ACCACACTCAGTCTCACTACAAAACAGCCAGCCTTGAGAGTTTAAGAGTAGAGACTGCAGTGTTATTTGCTTTTTAATGTCAGATAGAACTGGCAGGAAGGACTAGGAGGCCTGCCTGCGTTATGTTCTGGTTTAAGAATCATCAGATGGGTCACATGGCATTTCAGTAGGTACAAGGCTCCTATGACCCGTCCTAACTTCTTCCTATCTGCAGCATCACAAATATTGCTACAAGAAAGTGGCAGCTTGGACCAAGAGGATTACAGGTGTGGCCCACTTAATACAACAGCTGCGTGCCTGTAAAGGTGCCCACCGAGCACAATTTCCCGTATAAAATCCTGTTCCTTATTGCCTTTCATAATAACATTAGGGATGCATTCTTCTAACAAATATTTCAACCCTAAGATGCTGCAAAATCTCAAAATTGCTGAACAAACACTGATGATCTTATTTGAGAGGAAAAATTTCAAGCGTCTTGATAATGTTTTAGAAATAAAAATCTATGGGCAAGCTACTCAAAGACCTGAAGTTCAGTGTGTCTTTCATAGGGCAGAATTGAGTTAGAGGCCTTTCGCTACCTTTCACTTCAGAGGGCTGCTGGGAGGATTCAATAGCAAAAGTAAAAGCACTTTATCAATTGCAAAGTGCTGTATACATGTGTTTTCTCATTACTCTTCTAGTCAATCTTAGTCACTTTAAAAAAACAGGAGAATTCCCCTCTAGCCCACCATGGATTACCATTTGCCTCTTAGAGGGAAGCTCATTAACAGTTTTAGTACTGAGTATTCAGAGCTGTTCACAGAACATCTTTTAATTCTTAGCTATCTATGGTCTTGTCTTTCAGGACAAAGTTTGTGGGGTAGTGTGTTCACTCTGTGATGCACATACTAATTAATCAGGCACTCCCGGTTTTCTTGTCATGGGTAGAGTAGTGGAAAAAGCGCAGAGCCTACCAGCATTTTGTAATTGTGGGTCCTCGAGCAAAGCAACGACAAATGCTCAAGCCTCAGATTTTCGGTCTAGAAATTGGGGGTGATACTCTGCATGGTCGTGGTGAGGGGGCAATGAGATGATGTTATCTGCAAGAAGCCAGGAACTGAGAGGCATGAAGCAAATCCTCTTACGGGACAGGCAAGGGCTCTCCTTCCAATGCTTCCCTTTGCAGGATGTGTTTGTTTCTTCCAATTTTTGTCTCACGTCCTTGTTAAGTTTAGTGGCCTCAGGCAGGTAAAGATTCGTTTGCATGCACATATTTTATCGACTTGAGGTAACCCATTAATTGAGTGATTTTTAGCTTCTGCTTGGTCAAACAGGCTTCTAGGGACTGCTTATTGGGTTTTTAAAGAAACAATGGTTTATTTAGAAATAGTGATTGGGTTAGTAGGTAAGTTTCTCCCAAAGAAGGACAGAGTTTAAAAGGAAAGGAACTACAGGAACTTTACCTTCTCCCAACCCAGGTTTGGATATTTGTAGAAGTTCAGAGTTGATGATATAGAGCCTGTGTTTAAAATTTAAGAAACTGTTATATGGCCTTCTAACCTTTCTCCCTACTATACATAAATCACATCAACATTTATCTGAACCCAACTTGGTAATATCTATCTCAGATGTACAGGTTCCTCGCACACAAACTCTGAACTCATATACTCAACCTCCTCTGATGCTAGGAGCCCACCACTCACTCACTTTGTCGTCTAGAGAAAGTGACAGTAGCTATAGTTCAGAAACTGCAAACTGGTTGCCTGTGGACAGACTTTGGCCTGCATACATGTTTTGTTTGGCTCTCGTAGGTTTTTTTTTTTTTTAATTAATTATTTGCTAACATTTTAGTGTTACAAAGCTTCACACAAATTTTAGCTTGGATTGCCAGCTTGTCTTGAAAAATGGAATAAGTCGATAACACTAGTCAGCATTCTGTCATAACAATCACCTAGAACTTAGTAGCAACTGGACTTAGGCTCTCCGGTTTCCCTATCGGGACTTGTTGACTCTTCTGTTACCAACCAGCCTTCTACTGGCATTGGGTCAACAGCCCTATACTTAAAGCTAATGTATTCAAAGTGTCTAGTTTAATATCATGGGACAGAGACAAGATAATTGAGATGTGGCTAGTGTACCCAGTGACAGGATGCATGAGTGGCTAGCCACTGTCTTGGTAAAAGCCTGCATTTGAACCAGAAGGTAAACATTTAGGGCATGGAACATGAAGATCCAACACTCTTTCAAATAGTTCTCTGAGCTCACATGACTTTGTGTTTACCTACATGAATTATCAGTCCCTCCCCCTCCACTCCCACTATCCATATCGTTGAGATAGGAAATGTGCCTATAACTTCTTTAGCTGTCCCAAAGCACCTAGCAAAAGGTAGAGTCCATAGTAGGAGCTCAGAAAATATGAATGAAGCACTATGTCCAACGATAGATGTACCATGAAGTCTTTCTTTTCTTTTCTTGACTATGATAAATGCTAGGTTCATGGAATGAGAACTGAAAGTTTTGATGATTTGCTGTATCTTCAGATTAATAGATTAATTAATTGGTTTGCTGTATCCTTGAATGGATAACGGGATGTCATTTATTAGCAAGGCACAGGTAAGGGAAGAAAAGAGAACATTTCTTAAGTACCAGGAAGGGGAATTAAAGCGTGATCATCACTAAGGGTTGATGGAAGGAAATATCTGGGAAAAGAGGCTGAATTCTACTTATTTCAGTATTTCAAATCACCAGGGGAAAGGAATTTTCTGAAGGAACCAGAAGGCCCAGAGTTCTGGGAATTTTCTGGAGGAACAAATCCCCCTCCTCATCTCATCGTTAATTACCGCCTCATCCCGTTATCCCACCCATGAAGGGAACAAGAGAGGAGAGCTGAAGTTAAGGGAAGCTTTAAGCTAAAAGTGGAAGGAAGGGAAAAATATTCAGCCAAAAACTGTAAAAGGAGCTATTACACGGGACACCAGATATGACAAGATAAGACCAGTAGGAGAAGTGTTTAGTAACTGACAAAGTAGAATAACTTGGGAAAGGGGCAGAAGTAATGGGTGTGGCTTCAGTCATACAAAGTTGGAGCAGTTGAAATTTTGAACTTGAGTCTTTAGCAGAAAGGGGTAAATGTGACTGCCTAGGTATCATGAAGACTTAGTATGGAATACATGGCATAGATGTGAGAAGGTTAGGAAAGAGAAAATCAAATCATTGAAAATGTATACCATAGGCCACTTGACCAGAAAAAGGAAAGAGTGATGTAATCACAATGCTTAGACAAGAGTTGTTTTCTCATTGATGACTCAATTTCAACAATTTAAATATAATTTCTCACTCTCCCTGCCACCTTCCCCCTTCCCATAAGATCTTATTGTACTCTTTGTCTTGACTCCTTGGCACCATTCTTTTGTAAGCATCTCAAGGTTGGTACAATAAAATTGAAACTCCCATAAGTTATGAAGAAGACGCAGGTAAACTTTGATTGCTTGTGAACTGACTTTTCAATTGACATACAGAGGTTCTGTCCATTAGTACTATCTTATTGGTTAGAGAATTGAACAGAGTGTAATAGATGTGTGTATATTTGGGAGAATGGGAGTAGCAAAGGACTGTTAGGTCAGGGTCTCAGACTCAAATGCCTTCTGGAGTCAGGTGCCCCGTTTGAAGGGAGCAGCTGCTACTTCATTCCAGCAGATTGTTGCCATGTGAGTATATAGATCTGTTACCAGATGTTCTGATTTTTTTTTTTTTTTTTTTGGTGAGGAAGATTGGCCCTTAGCTAACTTCTGTTGCCAATCTTCCTCCTTTTGCTTGAGGAAGATTGTACCTGAGCTAACATCTGTTCCAGTCTTCCTCTAGTTTGTATGTGGGATGCCACCACAGCATGGCTTGCTGAGTGGTGTGTAGGTCCATGCCTAGGATCTGAACCTGCAAATCCTGAGCCACTGAAGCGGAGCCTGCAAACTTAACCAGTACGCCACCAGGCTGTCCCCCTGATTGTTTTTAGAGAAATAGGAAACTTGGATTTTTATATGAAATCTTTTGCCTTTTTAATATTATCAACTAATTAAAAACTTTGGAAAATGCTAGGTGAGCCAAGCAAAACACTTCTACAACCACTCAATGGTGAATTCCAATTTAGATGATGAATGGAATTCATGGTAGATAGAGCCTTGATTTGGTGACTTAAACTAAGTCTGGCTCTTTGTCCAATTAGTATGGGTTTGGTTCCACCTTGGTGGGTGTGAGTACTTCTCCCAAATGGCAGTCTTACATGTTGGTTTGTATCCTATAAACGTGACTGAGAACTTCCTCAATTCTCAGTGGTAAAAATGGTAAGTAGACTCTATGCTTCGTTAGAGTCAGTCTGTTCGACGAATAACTGAAAAATCAGTGGTCAGGCTATGAGATATGTAAAGAAAATAATCAGAAGGCAGTTCCTTTTTGGTGCCCTTTTTGCTCCCTCCCCAGGTTGCAAATCCTTTGGAGGCTGTGGCAAAGGCTTTGGATGTGGTTCTAAAAGTGTTGGGAAGTTATTGGAGGCTTATGAGCAGGGAAGGGACATGATCCAACTGAATATTCTGAAAGGAACACTCTGAAAGAGCTGACAAGAAGGCCCTGTCTAGAGCTACAACCTGGAGACTTCCCAAATATCTGCCTCTACGGGACTCAGCCTCTCCCTCTACCATTTGTTCTTTCCTAAGAATGTTGTTCTTATATTTGTGTCCATGTCCCTCCTTCCTACCCCCTACTGCCAATGGAGATGTTCTCCATGGTTCCTGGGCCATGTATCCTAAGAAACATAGAGACTGTTTCATCCTGAATGTGTTATCCAAGGGTAACCAATGCCTTTTCTGATTGAGCTAACTTCCTTGTATTCCTGCCTGGCCCTCAGGCCATGTCTCAGGTATGTGACAGAAAGAGAACCTTCCAGATATCTGATCTTCTCAACTGAGAGAACAAGTGATATGGTCTTGCAAATTGATCTAATTACACATTGCTATGCTTCTATCTTTCAGAAAATACTGAAAGAAGGACCTCTGCTGAAGAACTGTAACTCCTTCAAGAGATGGAAGCTTAGGTATTTTCTGGTTCGAGGACAAAGGCTCTGCTTTGCACACCATCCTGCGGTAAGAGAATGTATACATATATATGTATATATTATATGACATATATATAATCTTGTCAATTGAGTTAGTGAGTGGGTGCCAGGAAATGTTTTGTGGGGAGATGGGCCAACAGGCAAAGACACATTGGCAAATATTAAGGTGGAAGTTGAAACCTTTTATTCTTCCTTTAATTTGCCCTTTTGGGCCAAAGACACTTTTCTCTCCTTTCCACTTCCTCTTTACCATCCCTTTCATAGATTCCTCAATTAGCTTCTAACACCCAGAACTACATAATTTGCGGGGCCCAGTACAAAATGAAAATGCAGGGAAAAAGTGAAAGATACTAAAATGTAAAGCAGTTATTTGTCATGGCATCTTATTTTTTTTTTGAGGAAGATTAGCCCTGAGCTAATATCTGCCACCAATCTTCCTCTTTTTGCTGAGGAAGACTGGACCTGAGCTAACATCCGTGCCCATCTTCCTCTACTTTATACGTGGGATGTCTACCACAGCATGGCGTCTGCGCCTGGGATCCAAACCGGCAAACCCCGGGCCGCCGAAGCAGAACGTGCAAACTTAACCGCTGCGCCACCAGGCCGGCCCTGTGACATCTTTTATTTGCTATTAAATGTCATTCAAGTAAAGAAAACATAAAATTTTGTTATTAGCAATTTTGCCATTCATCCGTATATTGTACAATGCCAGTTTTAAAAGCAAATATAAGAGCATTTAACTCATGAAAAACCACCAAAATCATATAATTTGTATTTAGTAGCTCATACATGTGTATATATTTTGTTCTCAGCAGTACACAAGACTAGTTTGACAGCTTTTATTCACATCTTGATACTTACACATTCTACCAACACTCCCTGAAAGGAAAAGGAACTATGGGTTGCCCTATCTTTCTCTTTCCTCCAACGTTATCATTTTCAGCATAAATAGCTGGCTAATACAGGGAAGTAACATAAGTAAGAAAGAGTACACTAGGGTTCATTGGTTGTTCGTGTTTCTTAGAACATCATTGTTTTCTTCCTGTGTTTAAAGCAAGTTCTGTTTCCAGCATAAAGTATGGCCTCTCAGGGCTGTCACCTCCCCTACTTACTCGGTCATAGATGCAACGTGCTTACTTTATACTTGCTTTGAGTCTCACTGAACTCCCACACATCATGAGTCCACTGGAATTCTATGCTCATGGGCATCCCGAGTGCAAATGGAGTGACAGGACATGGAATGGACATGCATATTGTGCATATGTCCTCTGCTCATGTTCATGATCCATTGTCCCACTGGACTTTACTTACAAAACACATGTTTAAAGATAAAATTATTAAGAATTTCAAGATTGCAACAGCAGAGCATTAAACCGAGTGTAGGGCCCTTCTGAACATAGGGCCCTGTATGACTGCACAGGTTGTGTAGCGGCGAAGCCAGTTCTGTCTGTATCCACAGTACTGATTTCCTGCTGCTGGCTGGATGTTACCTACTATAGCCAGTGTATTAGGAAAACACAGGCCGCAAATTGGATGGGCCTAGTACCAAAGTCAAAGGCTGCTGGCCAATAAAATAGGAGCTAATAACTCCTATCTGCTTCGCTAGGCCCCTAGCTAGACTACATCCCATTGTCTTCGCCAGCATGGATCTTTAGTTTTGAATAATTCTGAACTACCCAAGCCTTCCTCTAAATCCACATAAAGGTTTTGGGAAGAGTCGTGTTTTGGCCTAGTTTGGTTTGGTTTTTGTTTGTCACGTGATATATCATCAAAAATCACGATGCTAAATAAGTCCCACCACTCAAGTCAAAGAAATGATTGGATCATGACTGCCAAAAATGCCTATTAGTGTGCATGCGTGTGTGTGTGTGTACCTTTAGTGTCTCTTTGCCTCATTAACCAAATGGTTTCTTTTCCCTCTCCCTCTTATATCTTTCCAGTTTGCACGCTTTGAAACAATTGATCTGTCTCAGGTCGCCTTGGCAGAAAGCAGCTGTAGAAACCTTTACCACAGTTTTTGTGTACGTAAGACTGGGAATGACTGAATGGGCAGGGGTGGAAGCTAGCTGGGAAGGGGGTTGCCATACCCACATGTTGCCTCTTTGGAGTTCAGCTTTCCCAAGTCTGCTTTGATTCCAAAGCATGTATAGAAATCCACTTAAAGCAGCATTGCAAACGAGTGCTAAAGATTATTCATGCAAACATTTTCTACCAGCCCGCTGATGGGGAAAAAAAGTGATGGCTCTGTTCCTTATTACCAGCCTGATATAAAGCTAAACTGATTTCATGGTGGGAGGAGTGACTATTACAAAAATCAATCCTCCTGGTGAAGGTGACTTAGAAGAGTATCATTGGAAGGCTTTCAAGAGACTGCTAGTATGTTGTAGAAAATATCAGGATAATTGAGCTGCTTGGCCTCCTTTCCTTTGATGAGGTAGAAAAGAACCTAAATCCAAAGTGAAAGCTACCCTGTGCTGAGATTACTGATGAGAGTAGCTCAAAGAAAGCAGAAGATTTTCTAGGGAAGTATTCAAGGGCTTGGCACTACTGAAATGTCATAAGGCTTTGGTCATTCAAGTGAATCCAGACCAAAAAGCTCACTGAAAAATAGCAAGTCCATTGACCTAGGAATTCTCCTACCCACCTCCTCCCAGAACTGTCTTCTCTCAGCCTCAATGGTGGGTTATGGAGACTGGGGTTCCTCTTCAGGTAGGAAGAGGGTTGTACTTAGCAGACTAGAGCTACAGGCCTAATACCATGCTTCGGTGGCTGATCCACACTCCATTCTCTTTTGAAAGGAGAGCAGCTGAATATAAAAAGGGGGCCCTACTCTCATTTCTCTCTCATTACATCACACTGACCCAGGGTAAAACTGGGGGTTCTGTTGACCCAGTCCCAAAAAGCTTAACTTTTGGGTGATGAGCATACAGGCTAATGTTTTTGGTCTCCATTCTACAAAGAAATCCCAAGGGCTGGGTTGCCCCTTAGCCTAATTACAACACAGAGGTACTGTTCATCAGCCTCACACAAGAATGGGCTTAGACCAAAGGAGTGGCTGTTATCACAATTCCCATTAGTTTCTCTTCCCATCTGTCACAGAATCATGCTGTGCCGCATGCAAAAGGAGAAAGAAATTGCTTGTTAGTGTGGTGAGCTCTAGCTCCAAGTTTTAGGGGGCTGGTAGTAAAGGCAAGTAGGGCCATCGAAGCAATGACTGATGCTATAGCTATCCATGTTCCTTCCTACCTTCTGGGAAAAGATCAAGTCCTGAGCATGGTCTACCTCTGCTAGACCCTCAGCATGGTTTTCTCATTATTCCTGCCCAGGTTCTTGCACCAGGCAGCATTAACAGAGACGGTGATAAAATTCTCTTCATGTAGTCCCTGTCCGTATAAAGAAAAAAAACTGGATTTTTAGATTCCTCCTTCCATTCTCACTCTCCCCCAAACAGAAAGAGGCACACCCTGATGAAGCACATACCCTTTCACCATTTTTAAGTAGACAGAGTAGCAGTAAGCAAGCGGGATTTTCAGGCAACCTCACTTGAGTAATAGGTGGGTGCATGGATTAGTGTTTAAGAGCATATATTCTGGAGCCGAAGAATCTGGATTTTAATTCTGATTAGCTTTTTACCTGCTAGGTGACCCTGGGCAAGTTATTTAACTCCCTTGCCTTGGTTTTCCTATGACGTGAGAAAAATAATAATCCCCATCCTATGTGGTTGTAATGAGGATTGAAATATAATAATATACACAAAGTGCAATAGAACAATGTCCGGCACATACTAAGTGCAATTAAAGTGTTATCTATTACTATTATCGTTATTATCTTGGGTGGGTATCTAAGGAGCTGCGTGTTGCTCTGGGAACTTCTGTCTTACATTTAAGAAGTGAATTGGATTGTACTTGGTAGACCCGTCTAATTTTATGGAGAGTTCACAGGCTCTGTTTGGGGGCAAAGTTGTGGAGTGCGAACCAGCTAATAATGTGACTTTCTGTTTAGGTGATCACACCACAACGAAAAGTTACACTGGCTGCGCCCAACCGGAAAGACATGGAAGAATGGATTAACGTCATAAAAACCGTCCAACAGGGAGAAATTCGTAAGGTAAGGGAAATAATAGAGAATCCACACAACTCTCAGGCGTAAACCCTTAATTGATTGCATTAGTTAAGCCACCTTTCAAACAGGGAAATAATAAGATGGAAGCAGAGACCATCTGGTCAGGAGCTATAGATGAATATCATTAGGAAACCTGTTTAGAACTATTTATAAATAGGAATAATTCACTTAGATTCAGACCTTGGTAAGTATGTGGTTTAGATACCTCTGCACATGTCCACTTGATATGTATACGGCACTGTATGCCCAATGGATGAGGCACTTAAGATGTATGTGAGCAGCTAATTTAGATGTTCTTGTGCTAGCAAAGCTGCAATCAGCAGTCTTGACTTGGGTCTGCTGAGTGACTACAGTAATGGCTAAGGAAACTGAGGCTCACAAAGGAGAAGGAACTAGACCAAGATGAGATAACTGCTCAGTAGCAAAGCCAGGATTTGGACCCAGGCTGTGTGACTCCAAAGCCTATGTCCTTAACCACTATGCAATTCTACCTCTCTGTTCACTGTCTACCACAAAAGAAGTGTAGAGGGAAGAGCAAGGAGCAATCCTCCAAAAACTTAGCAGAGTTCTTTTTCTCCTTAGCAATACCAAACCCCTGGCCACTGCCCCTTGCAACAAGCTGTGCCACCATTTAAACTCTGGGCTGTGCCTTCAGCCCACTATTCTTAGACCTACCTCAGTTAGAAGTTATGTAAGTTTCAAGAGGAAAGGGATATTTGTCATTTATTTACTTAGAGCAGTTCTGTCACATAGTAAAGGCTCAATAAATATTTGTTGAATGAATAAATGAATCTGAGGGTAATCTTGGAGCCATGGTTTAGAAAGGGAATGATACATGGTTCATCCTAAAGATAAGTTCTGCTGTGAAGGTCTTGGAGATAAAGGGGAAGATGACTCCACCCTCAAAAAGATCCTGATGTCTTAAATAATTAGCAAAGGATAGAGGATTGTTATAGGCATTTGAGATGGAGCCGTGTAGAATGTGGCTTGGTAATAATGGGTTTTAGAAGTGAAAACAATGCCATGGAGAAAAATCAACTGTCCTCACTCTCCTAGGACTTCTCAGGCTCTTGACCACTTAGTTTCATAACTCATAACTAACATTCTGCTACTCATGGTTATGAATACATGACAAGTTGACTGAACTGGGGCCCAGGTACCTCTCCATATGTCATTAAGGCCTCTCCCAGGCCCACATTGTATATGCTTAATTGAAAGATTTTTTGCTTAGAATCTGATGATGGTCTTTACATGACTTAGCACTCAGCATTTCACTCATTTGTTACTTTCTTCTTCCTTTCCTGATGGGGAAGCACATCCTGTCCCTCTCACCTACCCATAATGAGGCCACTATGGCACAGAATTAGAGGTAGCCACAAAAAGTTGTCCCTTCTATGCTCCTCTCAATCCCCGCCCTGTAGACCCATCCCTTTCCTTCCTTTAGCTTATCTCTATCCAAAATGGAGCTCCTCTTATGAATCACACATTTTCAATTTGGCATGAAAGGTCACATAGGATATTTTGAATTTTAATTATTAGTCCAGGAATGCAAAAACTTCTAGAGAAAGCCATCACATCATTTATGTGCCATTCCTGACTCAATTGAGCTGAACACCTTGGTGTTGACTACCAGCACAAATTAGAAAGGAAAAAAATAATAATCTGCCTGTTTACTCTCTTGGAGAAGTTGTGAGTTTCAGGTTGTAATCACAAGCTCTGTGGAGCTGCTCTAGGAACCTAAATCTATTAAGGAATACTTTTAGCTGACAAGTAAATGTCTTACCACCAACATCTTAGCAATTCATCTTGCTTGAGGCTTAAAGAGTCAAATATGCTTTCTCTCATATGTACGTTATCTTTAATGGTCTCTTCTGTCCTCTGTCACCACCAATGCCTGACATAGGGTGAAGGAAGATTAATCATGGCATTAGTGGCCTATTAAAGTCACTACAAAGTAATTGGATAAACTATTGGAAACTAGTCAGTACATGTCAAAGAGTGAGCCCCTACTGTTCCATAGAGTACAAAAGAAGGTGTGGCCTTGGTTCCTGGCCTCAATAAGCTTTTTAGGTAGTTGGGGAGACAAGATATACACAAAAGAAAAAGTTAAATGACAGTACTCAAGATAAATAACAGCTTTCAGAGATGTTACAAGGCAGTACATGATTGATTGCCAAATGTAGGAAACAGACAGTAACGTGGTATGGGAGTTCAGAGGAGGAAGAGATAAGTATGGGCTGGAGTCCTCTGGGAAGAGTTAATAGAGCAGAGACTTGAGACTGGCCTTGAAAGATGATTAGGATTTTGTTGGTGGCAGAGAATTGATCAGGGGCAGGGGGAAGTCCTGAGCAAGGAAATTGATATAAGCAAAAGCTGAGTAACATAAAAACAGAAGCTTTTCAGAATAGAGTGAAAGGGGGACTGCATTTGACTAAAAAAGATTGGGAAAGTGCATTAAAATAAGTGTGTCTTGAGAGGTAGGTTGGGCCTGATTGTGGAGGATTATCGATGCCAGGATAAAGAGTGGGGAAGAACTGCAATATGATGAAAGTTGAATTTAATTATGGATTTGAAAGTTAAGTGAGTTTATCAAGGGGATACTTTAGAAATACAAGCTGGATTAGATAAGGGAAAAACTGGAGGCCAGAAGATCATAGAGTAGGCTATAAATTAATTCAGGCAAGATAACGTTAAGTCCCAGAATGAGGATAGAAAAGGAAGACAGGAAGACAAGTAGTAGATACTGAGTTGAGGGTAGGAGAGAACCTAAATATACGAAAGAGCCAAAGAAGAGATAGGGGTCAGAGGCAGATGAAAGGTTTCGGCCTGAGAGAATTAAAGAATAAAAAGGAGAAAATTGGATATAGGAGCTGCTTGGAAGACTAGATTAAAATATTAGCTTTTTCTAATGAATTGCCATGAAACCACTGACTATGGAAACAGGAATGGACCTTAAAAGTCATCTAGACTCCAGATTCTAGATTCTGAAACATATTTAGATAAGGTCATGTAGACTTTATAGTTATGTGTCACTTAATAATGGGGATACATTCTGAGAAATGCATCATTAGGCAATTTTGTCGTTGTGTGAACATCATAGAGTGTACTTACACAAACTTACATGGTCTAGCCTACCACACACCTAGGCTATATGGTACTAATCTGATAGAACCACCATTGTATATGTGGTCTGTTGTTGACCGAAACATCATTATGCAGTGCGTGACCATATTGAATGCTTCCAAAGATGGGGAACTAAGTTTTTTTGCAAAAACGTCCATTCAGTGTCCCTAAAGCTCTAAATTTCAGAAAGTTTTGTCTTAGTCTCTGGCCTAGTAGAAGAACGTTCTAACATTTAGTGTGAGCTGCAAGAATGGCATCAGCTGCCTCTTGAAATAGAAAGCTCCCTATCATTGGAAATATTTAAAGCAAACTATTTAAACAACTGCTTCTGAGAATGTTGTATAGAAAATTAATTTTTCATAGTGACATCAGCAAAATTGTGCACTAGGAGGTCCCATCGCTCATCCCCTCCCCGAGAAAAAAATAAAAACAAGAAATAAACACCTACATGCCAACTAGAAGAGCTCTGAGAGAGCTTCAGAATAAAATAAAGAAGCTGCAGAAACTCTATGGAGCACAGAGACAGAAAGGCCACCTAGAAAAGTATAGTAAACAGTTTACCTGCCTTGCCCCGTCCCCTAGTCTGGCAGAGCTTGAGGCCAAGAGAAATCCCCTTGGCCTGACCTTCCCCCACAATGGAAAAGGAGAGCAAGAGGACTCAAGCAGAACCTTGTCAATGTTGTGGACACATGCAGCTTTCACCGTGGAGGTGCCCTAAAGTCTTCATTAATGCTGAACCCAACTAATGGAGCTGCCTGGAGTCCATGCTGCTGTGACACCCCACCCACCCCACCGTGAAAGAGCTGCCGCAGCACCCTCCAGAGAAACTGCCACTGTTGCACTCTCACTGGAGAAGTGCTGCTGCCTGCCCCCCCACCAATGCTACTGCCACTGCATCCTGCCCCCCCCCAACCAGAGCCACAACCCCCCTCCTGCAACCATACACATAGCCTGTACCCCAGCTCCATGGCCATTCAGCATACCTCCATGCCTCACACACTAGGGCCACTATTGTGATGAATGCACCTGTGTCCAAGTCCCAGGTACTGCAGTTTTCCTAGATGCCCCCAAGCTCCAACCCTGGTGCTATGGCCACTCTGCAAATGCCTAGACCCCAGATACCAACACCATTGCCCCCAAAAATGCACTTGCAACCCTGATCATGGCACCACTGCTACCACACGTGTGCCCATGTGCTGGACCCAGAAACAAGATGGATGCCCTTAGCAATGACTTCCACCTGTGGAGGAAAAGGAGACCAGGAGGACCAAGCAGCCTTCACCACCAAGGAACCCAACAGCCTTTACCACCACTGTGGAAACCCACAGCTTTGGCCATTGGGGTCCCCTTCAGTCTTTGCCAGCACTGGCCTCAGCTGATGAAGTTCCACAGAGACTATGCTGCTGTGCCCTCCCTGAAGCCAGAACTGCTACTACACACCCTGGATCTGGAGCTGCCATATCCAACTCAGTTGGCACCCTCACATCTACCTGTAGGTAAAAGTTTTTACCCCTGAAGACAGTCCACAAAGTCTGGAAAAGGTGACTGCTCCCTCAAATGTGCAGACATCAACAAAAGGCTACCAGAAACAGAGAAAAAATTGAGGAAACATGACACTACCAAAGAATTACAATAATTTTCTAGAAATTATTATATCTAACCTCAAAGAAATAGGGATCTATTAATTTCCTGAAAAAGAATTCAAATTAATTGCTTTAAGGAAGCTTAGTGAGCTACAAGACAACAAAGATGGAGAACTCAATGAAATCAGGAAAATAATACGTGAACAAAATGAGAAGTTCAACAAAAAGACAGAAATCATAAAAGAGAACCAAACAAATTCTGAAGCTGAAGAATGCAAT